TTTACTTGACTTTCTCTACCACTAAACGAGGATTCCTCAATAGTAAGACTATGTCATCTTACTTTCCCAGTACCTCATACAGATAGACAAATGAATGAAGAAGAAAATATAAATAAGCCTTGAGTCTCTTTAAGCACAAGCTGTGCTATTTCCTTCTCTCCTGGAAGTTGTCTTCCTCATTCACCACCCATGCATATACCTCATTTCAGGGGAGCACATTAGAAAAGATCAGGACTGACAATCCCTCCCAATTTTCTGTAACTTCTACCTGAAACCTTTTAAGCCTTCCTGGAAAGGTGTAGCTAGAATCTGAAGGTCTATTGATCTGTCCGTTTCTACCCACCCACTCATAGGCAAATAAGACCATCCACAAAATTTCACTGAAGAGGCAAAAGTTGATGGTCACAGACGCACCTGAATTAGAATCTGAATGAATGATTTAAAATGTAACTTATTGACCATAAAAGGGTGGCTATTATTAATTACTCTGGACTGTCCAGGCCAACCCAGGACATGTGGACATTTTTTCCTTAGACTAGCACACATTGGAGTATTTAGCTTAGAATCAATGAAAACAAAACTGCACATTGGGAGGGGGGCAATTTTGAGGAAAATAAATAATGGACCCATCACCACTGAAAAGGGTTATAAACAGTGGCTTAAAGTTTCTCAGGGATCTGAGATCCAGGGGTGAGCCATGAGTTTTCTATCCCCTAAATATCATACTCTGGGCTAGCTAGTCAAATATGTTTCTGAAGCTGCTGAGATAGAAAATGCTTTCTTCCCTTCCTTTCATATAAAACATCTTGGTTTTGTCTTGAATTTTTTTTTTAATACTCACCTGAGGATATGTTTGATTTTAAAGAGAGTGGACGAGAGAGAGAGAGAGAAACTTCAATGTGACACAAAAACATCAATTGGTTGCCTCCCATATGTGCCCCAAAGGGGGATCGAACCCACAACCTAGGTATGTGCCCTGACAGGAATCAAACCCATGGGATGTAGGATGACATTCCAACCAACTGAGCAACCCAGCCAGGGCTTGTTTTAATTTTTAAATCTCTAATTGAAGTTCACCAAAAGGAGTTTCCACAGATGTAAGTCTCATTTCTATATCAAATCTCATTTCAGAAAAAAAGAAATTTCCTTTTTGCAGTATGGTATATTATTTCAACACTTCTAATTCACATTTTCCCCAGGGACATTTTCAACTGGCTGTATTCTGAAATGCAAGGAGCATTTTTTTTCTGTTAATGGATAGAGTTTTAATCTTGCCAGATAACCTAGAATCTTTATGATTCAGTTTTATGATTCTAGAATTCCAGAATTAATTAGAGCCCAGCTATGATTAAAGTATCCAGCTAATTTTAATTTAATTTAAAAAGTTAAGACAAAGCTGAAGATAAATATAAATTCTAATTTACTGCATGGTGCAAAATTAAAAGAGAGGCTGGGACCCTGTATCTTTTTTCCTCTTCTAGATAATACTCAGGTGCAGATGAACACAAGAATAGGACTTTAATTTCTGAAGAATCTGAACTGCTTAATGCAGGACATCCCATAATCCTTGCTTACTTAAAGCATGTTACACATGCACTCTTTTCAATTGATTTCTGAGTTCACCAAGGACACCGCAAAGTAGTGATATTCTTCAGACACTATAAACAAAAAACATTAATTTAATACTCTATAAAACTGGCTCCAGCTTTTTACGCCAACTGCTGGGAAGTAAAACCGTGACTCTATTATTTCCCATCTGTGATTCTTAACCTCCCTTGTTTTTCTAATGGTGATACCGGAAACTTGGTATCATAATAGCATCTGCTTCACATGGGGTTGATGTAGGACTATTGGATTTATGGGTTCCATTATATACTCTTCTATATGATTCCATACTCTACTTCACTGTACCATACTATACATTACTATACCATATTATACCAGTTGATGACATTCTATGATATTCTATACTATAGTACTATTACTAGAGTAGGTAGCAAGATATTAATAAAGGACGGGAGCAAATGGAATTAGACATTTTACTAAGCATAATCAATGAGGGAGCATAAACCTGTTTAACCAGGAAGGGGGGAGCAGGGAGAGGTAAGCACATGCTCAGAAGTCAAAATGGTGCAGGCGGAGGGTACTTCTAGAAGACATACCCAATAGGAGCTGAGATGGTGACCACAGAGGCCTGTCAGTCTAGCCTGGGAAAGAATAGATTGGCTAGGAGGTAGACGCATCAGAAGCCGGTGAAAGCCTGGGAAATTGATTCGTTAGTTTGAAAAGAGCTCCTGTTCGAGATAATATAGTCCCCGCTAACAAAACCCTTCTCTCTCTCTCTCACCCAGTAACACTCACTGGCCTTATTTATTCCTCTCCGTAACAACTATGCGGATCTAGCAGCCACCTGCAGACCACGTGGGCTCCAAAGGACTAGGCTTTTATATGACACAGAAACTTTGGACACTGGTCTTTATTTTGGACTTGATGAAGACAAGATTGCACTTTTTCCATGGTGGGATGGACAGAGATGAGACACTGGAAACCCAGGGGCAGCCTGCTATTTTCACCCAAATAAATCTCATCATACCATACTCTCCCGTATGTGGGTCCATGGAATGGTTTCCTTGTGATCCCATGAAAGAACACAATTTCCACTGGCAGCAATATCATGAGCCTCATAATGACATGATGTTTTGGTCAACAACAGACCATATTCATATCTGTGGCCCCAGAAGATTATAATGGAGCCAAAAATCCCTATTGCCTAGTGATATTGTAGCCAAGATAAGGTCATAGTGCAATGTATTACTGTTTTATGCTGGTCTCAGTCTATGAATAGTAATGCGATCCTGAGAAATTCCTGGGGGCACTCACCTGGGCCCCAGTGAGCTTCCCACAGACATCTCTTTCTAAACCAGTGGTACAACCGGACCAACCCTTTGGTTCTTACTACATTTTAAGCCACCCTTCAGCAATAACAATTAGGAAACTTTAAAGAAAAAAAAAGTTTATTTCTTAAAGCTAGGGTGTACAAGGCACAGCAAGATCGCAGGTAGAGAGAGTGCAGAGGCCTAGAATTCTGCTTTTATTGGGGTCAAGCATGAGGAAGGAGGGCCTAAGATTTTGCAGCTCACTGGTTATTCGTTAATGTCAAATTTAAGAGGGTGAGTTCAAAGCACAGGAAAAGAAAAAGAACAAGTAGCTTAAATGGTCAGTTATCAAAATACATAAACCAAAATCTCTAAAACAAAGGCGCCTCAGTCTGGGAGGTGGCCGGATTCTTTATCTAGTGAGGCAGGCAATGTGTTTATTCCAAATAGCCTTCTTTGAAGCAGATGCCTCTTTGAAATGGATGCCTTAGCAATGGAAGCTTACATCAGGCACGTATGTTACAAAAAGAAAAGCCAAGGGTCAGAGCTTTGACAATTACTGACTTGTTTGTGGTGATACTGGTGTAAACAAACCTACTGTGCGACCAGCGCTGTGAAAGTATAGCACCTACAATTACAGTAGTAGGATATGCCATCTAGGTTTGTGTAAGTGCTCTCTATGACGTCCACAGAATGGTGAAATCACCTAAGGATGCTTTTCCCATTGTAGTTATAGAATAGTCAAGGGGTTGTAGGGTACAGCATAGGGGATATAGTCAATAATATTCTAATGACTGTGTATGGTGTCAAATGGGTACAAGATTTATCAGGATGATCACTTACTAAGTTATATAATGTCTAATCCCTGGGGTGTACACCTGAAACTAATATAATAATGTATGTCAACTATAATTGAAAAATATTAAATGACTTTTTTAAAAAAGATATCCTCATCATTAAGTGACACATGACTGTATATCCTTATATAATACTCTTCCATATTATACCGTGTTTCATTATGCCATGCTATTGTAGCCTCCTATTCAAAGTATGATTTGAGACTCACAGGATCAGCATCACCTGGGAACGTGTTAGTACTAGGAATCCTACCCAGAACTACTGAATCATCATCTGCAGTTTAACAAAACCTTCAGGTGGTTCAAGTGCCTGTTATCATTTGAGAGGCCCTATTATGCTCTACTCTACTACATATAGCAAAAGGCAATATAGAATAGTATTTAGTATACAAACTCTAGAACCAGGCTTCCTCAAGTTCAAATTTCAGCTTTGCTATTTATTTAGGCCAAATAACCTGATTTTTCTGTGCCTTGGTTTCTTCCTCTGTAAAATAGTATCTATTCAATAGGGTTATGTGAAGATTTAATGTTTTAATATATGGAAGCCCTTGGAACAGCCCTGGCATAAAAGTAAAGCATCAATCCAAACGTTAGCTATTCTGTTTATAATGTGGTTTGCTGTAGAATCTCACTCCCTGCGGGAGGGAGGTACAGTCATCCATGAAGACATTCTTTGGGTAAATCAACCACAGAAAGGCAAGTGTTGAGATAAGATCAGAAAACAGTCAGACTGCTGGGAAGAGGAACGCTTATCTCTGGACCTTGCTGTTTCAATAAAAGCTTGAGGAGATAACATGGGATTGCACATGACTGCGGCCATATGGAAGCAGATGAGCAACAAAGTAGAGACACTCCTGTACGGAGCCACATAGAAAAGAGTGTGTTCCATTTCACATGAACTACTATCTAACTGATAGTATTCTCTGCTTCTATTTCCCTTTTGATGTGCTCAAATCTTCAGTAAGCTGTGTTTACGGGTTCCAGTCTGGTTTTGTCTATCTGCAAGTAATAAAGGGAAGAGTTGTGAGAACTTTCTAAGGACAGAGTTCTGAGAAAGTCCGGGCCTCTGGAGACCAGAGTGGAGACAGCCAGGGACTGATTAAAAGAATCCCCAGGGGAAGGTGAACCACAGATGTCCTCCCCACAGGGTGATCATCTCTCCCTCCCCCAGCTAGAAGGATCAGTTTTACTTTATTAAGAGAGCTCACAGGGTCCTTGACACCTCCGATGGGCTTGTGGATCAAATAACAAACACTCTGCCACTCACCTTCTGGAATGCAGACCTTATAAAGAATTTCCTTCTCCAGATTCTGCAGGGACTCAAAATTCTCTCCATAGTACACTTTACCCTGGTCATTAGTCATCTCCAAAAGCTGAGAGTTTTTGGCTTCTCCCACCCCGATGGCAAAAATAATTATATTTCTGTCTCTGAGGGCCTTGGCTGGCGTGGCTACATTGTCCTGGGCAACCCCATCGGTGATCACAATCAAATACTGATAAACAGCACCAGGTCTCCCTCCCCTTGAACTGTCAAAAAAAGGCAGAGTGAAAGTCAGGGCTTTCCCAGTACGGGTGCCATCATTCATCTGCTGAACATTGGAGATTGCTCTGTGAATGTCCACCTTTAAGAAGTATTGGTTGAGCCTGAATTCTTCCTGGGGGGTTGAGCTGAACTGCAAAAGGCCAAACTGAATTTCATCAGCACCGATATTAGATTGATTCACCATCCTCTTCATGAATCCCTTCATCTTTTCAAAGTTTTTTGGGGAGATGGATTCTGAACCATCTATCAGAAAGATAATGTCAGCTTTCTTATTCTTACAGGCTGTGGGGGAAAAGAAAGAACAGAATATTTGCTCAGAGACTGAAACCAATTCATTACAAGTCAAAAGAGACAGAGGTGGCAGATATACAACATGAAAATATTTTTAAAGGGGGTGGAAGAGGAAGCCAATGAAATAGATTTTCTTAAAATAGACACAGCTATATAATTAAGATATAAAATCTGACTGGCTTGCTTCATCCTAGGTCGTGGTCATGTCCAATACTCATTTATGGACTAGTGAATCCACACTTCAAGAATGAAGCTTATTGCCCTGGCCAGTTTGGCTCAGCGGTTAGAGCGTCGGCCTGCGGTCCGGAGAGACCCGGGTTCGGTTCCCGCTAAGGGCACGTACTTCGGTTGCAGTTTGTCCCCGGCCCTGGTTGGTCGTGCGGGTGGCAGCCACTCGATGTGTCCCTTCATGTCGAAGTTTCTCTCTCTCTCTCCCTTCCTCTCTCTCCCTCCCACTCTATCTGTACAAAAAATGGAAAAATATCCTCGGGTGAGAAAAAAAAGAATGAAGCTTATTCACATAGACTAGACACATATATTTGGAGAGAGAGACTGAAGAAAAACATTCTTACTCTCTGAGGAGCAGATGTCTTGTACCACTTCTTGCTGGATGGCCTTCAATGAATCAAATTCATGCACAAAAAACATCTTGTCTTTAGCAATCTCCTGAAGCTCAGTGGTGTTAGCATCTCTCACCCCAATAGCATAAATGATGACTCCGTATCCTCTCAATGCCTCTGCAGCCTGAGCCACTGGGTCCGCAGATCGACCATCAGTGATGACTATGAGGTACCAAGGCACGTTGCGACGAGCAGTCTTTGCAAAGATCTGAGCCATGCTCCTCAAGGCCTGACCTGTCAGGGTGCCACCTCCCCTCTGTTGGATGTCATCAATGGCTTCCTTCAGTCTGGCCACACTGGCATACTGGCTGAGGATAAACTGACTACTAATTCCGTCTGAGTACTGAACGACTCCAAACTGTACTCTGTTGGGCCCGATATGGAACATCTTTATCACTTCATTCATGAACACCTTCATTTCAAGAAAATTGTCTTGTTGGATGCTGCCAGATCCATCAATAAGGAAGTAGATATCTGCCTTCTCGATGTGCACACAGTCTAGGCAACAAGAAGCAGCAACTCATTAGAACAGAGGTGAGATGGAGTGTAGTGCTCAGCAGAACCGAGCCCCAGCTGTCTATAGCAATAACCTGCTCACTGATTCAGCCTGGACTGACTGCCTCCCCTTCCTCTCTCTCCTCTCCACTCCCCTACCAGTGAGCCCCGGAGTCACCTCTGGGATAAATCGCTTGCAGCCAGATCCTTGGCTCAGAGTCTGTTTCTGATGAACCCCACTTGAGACATGAAGTAAATAGTACCTGACATTTCTCAGTTGGGGAAGTTGAGAACAAGCTAAAAGTAAAATATCAGAGCATATTTCAAGCAGTGAATTGTCTCAGTATCTATATTCCTGCTTCCCATGCAAGTCACACTTTTTAAATATATGGGCACTTTCTGAAATTTAATTTAATTACCTTAAATGAATTTGTAAACTTTCTGTTTTAGATCCCGTCCCCACCACTTAGAGCAGGCTTGTCCCTTTGCATGTCAATTTCTGATCTGTCAAACAAGAATCTTAACACCCACTCAGTGAGTTTATTGGGAGCATCAAATAAGATTATGGAAACACAGCAAAGCCGAGTATTAAAATTTCATGGTTAAGATCACCCAGAGTTTTATTTTTGTCACCTAGCAGATTCCTCAAAAAGAAGGAAACATAACTTTCTCCTTGCTCCTTTCAGTAAGGATGACCCTGCCTTGGGTTATTAATGTCTGGATTCTCTTGAACCTGGGGAAGAACCAAGGGCCTTTTCATGTTTCCCGGACGAAAGGGAAGTGATCTGAGGCAGGAGTTGGGCTCTGTTGCTCATGCCTTCGTGTGTGAGGACCTGGGTCCAGAAATATGTGAGACATACTTATACTAAAAGATGAAAAAGTGTTTCTTGTTTGTCTGAATGATTTTCAAATTAACTAGGCATCCCTACCCTAGAGGGGCAGGCATTGGAAGGGGGTGTGGCTTAGAAAGCAACAGAGGAGTGATCTGCCCCTATGGTGTTTATCGAATGCTTGGAGGATGAAGGGAAAATTATGAAAAAAGAAGGCAGAAACTCAGACCTTGCTGGAACCCAGCACCCACTGGTGACAGGTTGATAACTAGCCTGAGTCTAAGAAAAGGCCCGCTGTGCAGGAAGGGGCATCTCTATGGCCAGCTCCATGCAGCAGTGGCCCGAAGAGTCTCCAGCACAGCCCAGGGCCTTTGCACTGTCCAGAGGAGCCGAGAGTCCTGAATATTGCCTGGCACTGCACATTCTTGTGAATCTTGGCAGATGAGGATTTGGGGGAGGGGAGATTGGGGTGGTCTGGGAAAAAGATATTATAGTCTGGCTGCTGCTAAGCATCCACATCTATTACATATACAAAGTGCTTAGCACAGTGACTGACATATAACAGATGACCAATAAACGGTAGATATTATGAACATAATGATCAGTCAGGACAGAATTCTCGTAAAAATGTCCCAACTTCTATTTACCACTAAGCTACCCCCACCCCCAACTCCTCTATACTTTGGGCTGATTTTTCTGATTCTAGGTTTCTACGCAGTCTGGGAAAGAAAGCAACTCTCAAGTCTTTATACTGCTTATGAATTAGAAAGAGAGAAAAGGAACCTTCTCTCCTTTTCTACAGAAATTCATATTTAACAATTTTGTTCCTTATTCCGAGAAGAGAGAAAGGGATTAAAAATACAGACCAAAAGCCCTGGCTGGTTTGGCTCAGCGGTTAGAGCATTGGCCCATGGACCAATGAGTCACAGGTTTGATTCTGGTCAAGGGCACATACCTCGGTTGTGATTCGTCCCTGGTTGGGGTCGTGCGGAAGGCAACCACTTGATGCGCCCCTTTCACATCGATGTTTCTCTCTCTCTCTTTTCCTCTCTCCCGCCCACTCTATCTGATCAAAAATGGAAAAAATTCCTCGGGTGAGGGGAAAAAAAAACAATTACAAGATCATTTAGTAATTGTTTAAACAAACAAACAAAAAAAAGGCTTAGTCATTAGCCCCTGAAGATATAATCACAGTCTTGAATTTTTAAGTTAATTACCTACATTTCAAGTTATCATCTTCTTTCTATAATTCCGATTGGAATCTAAGAAATACTAGCGTGGGTGGACAAAAATAGACAAGTAGACAGACAGACACAAGATATTTATAACAGCCAGTAAGTGGCAAATTTGGAATTTAAAATTCAGGCAATTTGACCCCAAGGTACACATGCTTTACTGTTGTTTTTTTCTGGTGGTTTTTTTTTAACTGCATATACAGTAGGAGGTCTCCTAACTAACCTCCTCTTAGGTGACTCCCAGATAATTGACATTCTCCCTTCCCTCTGCAACACATGAGCAATACTCCCACAATGCACTGAATGCCCTCCCCTTGGAGGCTCCCCAGTTGGACACTACACAGTTCTGCTTTTCTTAGTGGAAGAATAAGCCTACCAAGAGCAATGTGGGTTTGTTCCTAGCCTGTTTATGGCAGTTTTGTTACTATAATTACACAACAAATCAAATATTGTGCAAATCAGTAGGATATGAGTGTGAATAAAAGAGGTTTATAGCATCTATGAAAACCAGGTTAACTGCTTAGAAAAGCAAATAAAGACCAGTTGTTATCAAAGAAATTGCTGGTGTACTTGCTAGCACTATAAAAGATTGATTTTTTGAGATCATAAAAATCAATAAGCACTTCTGTACTCAGATTGTTTCAAAAGTGGCTAAGTTATCTTCTCAATTTAAAGAAACTGGAAACTATAGAAAATACACTATTGGGTGATTGATGAAGAAATTACACAGAATTCCAATCAGCAGGGCTCATATTCAAAGCAGCATTGGCCCTACAAAAAAGATTGGAAAGTTGATGTTCATTTATTTTTTAAGTTCAAAGTTTTTAGTTTCAAGAGTGTTTGTATCTCTTTAGAAATAATTTCCTGCTGTATGTGACTTAAGATTTGGTCAATCCATACTCAGATCCCTAGGGCTTCTACTGTAAATATACATATGTTTTCATCTAACTGTTAAAATGGATGAGGGGTAAGATAGAAGGAGGAGTGTTCACTATTTACTTCACATTCTTCTGCACTGTTTGGAATCAAGACAAAATAATTCTATTTTTATGTTTTGTGTTTCTGTTTTTTAATAAATTGACTCCATAATCTTTTCTTGGATGGGGTGAGGAAGAGGTAGAGGAGGTGAGTGAGTGTATGGAGCAAGCAGAGTAAAGATAAATATATATATATATATATATATTCATATATATATATATATATATCTCAAATTTGGAAAAGGTCCTCTTACCTTCTTTCTGGGCAAAGCCCATCCCAGTAGTGGAAACTCTTATACCCACAATTTCAGGGCAGAGCTGGTTTTTAATCTTGCTTCCCATAATGGAGAGTTGCAAAAAGGATTCCAGAGAGATGACATGCTTCCAAGGAGGATATGATGCTATCTTCTCCAAGTCCTTACTCTCTGAGGCAAGCTGGGTGCCCACTGCATAGATGGTAACCCCTGCCCTGCGGAGGAGAGACGCCGGTCTGGACACATTGTCTTGGGAGAAGCCTTCCGTGATGACCACGGCTATCTGCGGCACACCTTGCTTGGGCCGGCTGCCCTTCTCCTGAATGAAAACCTCAGTCCTTAGGAAATCCAAAGCAGCACCAGTCTTGGTCCTTCCTCTTTTTTCCCTGTAGGTTAATTTGTTCAAATGCTCCAAGATTTTAGCTGGAGTCTTAAATGCATCCAGTGAAAACTCAAGTCGTGGTTCCTCACTATAAAAGACCAAGCCAATTCTCACAAATTCGGGAAGAATTCTTAGAGATCTGACGGTGGTCTTTAAGAAATTGACAACTTGCTGGAAATTCAGTTGCCTAACGCTGCTAAATTCCTCAATGAGGAATACTAAGTCAGCAGGGATAGCAGTCGGACATGCTATAAACAAACACAAACAAAAGAAGGGCTTTAGCATGAGAACAGAATAACGAAGACAATTTTGTATATAAAAGTTATGCTATATCTTGTAGCATCATATTTATTTATTTTATATACTGCAATATTTAGTATTATAAATCATAATAATATATATTATCCTAACCTATATTAATACACTTGAGAATGTAGTAGAAGCCTTTATGACCGTCATTGGGCATGGTCAAAGAACATCACAGGGTTCATACTTATCCCCAAATTTTTCACATGAAAGAGTATTCACATCACTTGTAAAATATGTAAATATGTGTATATCCACCAGAGAGTGCTTTAAGGTCATTTTTCAATTCATTACGTTTATTAGAAGCATCTGAGTCTTGCTTGACTAGTTTTCTCTTCCTTTTTCTAATCTCAGGAAACCCTGAAACCCCCTGGATTTAATAACTTTTTCTCTACCCTGGTAAAAAATGGAAATAATCAATTGTGACTATTGCCCAGCCGGTGTGGTTCAGTGGATTGAGTGTCATCCCATGGACTGAGAGGTCCCAGTTCGATTGCTGGTCAGGGTACATGCCCTGGGTGCAGGCTCGATCCACAGTGGGGGGCGTGCAGAAGGCCGCCAATCAATGTTCCTCTCTCACATCGATGCTTCTATCTCTCCCTTCCTCTCTCTCTAAAAAATCAATAAAAACATATTTTAAAAAAATAAATTGTGACTATTAACTTGTGCACCTTTCTCTGTAAATTTAATGTTATTTTAACATAGGCAACTTGAAGTGTTGCAAATTCCCATCAAAAATCTTTGTCCATACATTGAGCTCACTGGCTGTTTTATTTGCTATAAAAGCAGCTTTCCTTTAATCTTGCTTAAATGGGGTATTGGTTACAACTGCACTAACCTCCCTTCTAAGAGGAATCCAAATACCTCTCTCACAATTTAAGGCAGTTCCTACTGTAAAATAAAATAAAAAATAAATAAATAAACTGTGTCCACATACCAAAAATGTCCAGATTTGCTTGGATGTTGGAAAAAATAAAAATCGCTCTAGCATAGAGCCAAAACCACATACGCAGAAGGCTGGAACCAGTGTGTAGACAACTGAATATCGTGAAACAAAGTTTGGAGAAGAGACTATAGGGCAACTGAATAATCTTTTGACTTATCTTTGGTCTCTTGATATCCTAAAATTCCCTCCTTGGTCATTTTTTTTTATTAAGAACCAAAATCAATCCTAGATTTTTTTTAAAGGGTGTTGCCCCTGATTGTACCAAGTCTAAAACGTTTAGAAACCCCAAGCACCTTCGATGTCTCCCTTCCTTCACCTGCTGGTACCAAGTGCTATTATTCTCCTTTCAGGCTGTCATCAGGACTAGTCCCCTTTCCTCATTATCAGGCCACCATTGGCTAGACCCAGGCATCCTCCCTGTGTGGACAGATGACAGCTCAGCCTTAAAGTCCCTGAGTCAGAAATGCCATGTGGAATTCAGCCTGCATACTGAAGGCTTCCTTAAAGACCATTTCGATCATGTCATGTTTCTTGCTTAAAAGCCTGCTGTTATTTTCCAGTGTCTTTGGGGCTCCATAATCAGGATTTGTCCTACCTAATATAACCTCATCCCCTCACTACGTCTAAATCCTTCCAACCCCAACTGGCTTTATTTTTTTCACCTTCTTCCACATTCATCCAGCTCATTCCCACCCATTCCCACACCCTTACTCATGCTCTTCCCCTTACCAAGAGTACCCTCCTCCCTTCTCCCTGCATGTTAAAATCACACCCATTATTGAGGGACCAACACAATTTCTCCCAGGTTCTCTACTATGCCCTCCTTTTGTTCTATTTTGACTTAATGCAGTGTCCATAAGATGCTTCTTAGTTCTTTATTATCTCTACTTAGATTTTCCTCTTCTTGTCTCATATATGTTTGTCTTTTCTGCCTATAAAATTTCAAGGACCCTGCCCTGGCTGGTTTGGCTCAGCAGTTACAGCATCGGCCTACCGTCCAGAGACACCCAGGTTCGGTTCCCGCTTAGGGCACGTATCTTGGTTGCAGTTTGTCCCCAGCCCTGGTTGGGTAGTGTGGGTGGCAGCCACTCGATGTGTCCCTTTCATGTCAATGTTTCTCTCTCTCTCTTCCTCTCTCCCCCTCTCACTCTATCTGAACAAAAAATGAAAAAATGTCCTCGGGTGAGGATTAAAATTCCAAGGACCCTCAAGCTCTAGATGTTGAGAGGTCTGGGCAGAACTATGATAGTTCAGAGAGAGTAAGGATTGATTGCTTCTAGTTGTGGGGATACACTAGAAGCCACACCAAACTTCTAGTTGTGGGAGTACGCCACCATGAAGGTAATTTAAGAACTGAAGGATGAAGTTTTAACTGTGGGAATTCCAGGATGATGGTATAGTATATTCAGGGCAGAGACAGAGGTGGGAAACTATGACACATATAAAGCAAATGGTGGGTAGTTTAGCTTGGCTACTGGTTAGAATGTATAAAAAGAACTTGGCAGGAGATGAGGCTCAGTGGTTCTCAAACAACAGTGGTACCAATCCCCAGAAAACATTTGGAAATATATAGGGATGTTTTGGATTGCCATAAGACTCAGGGATGCTGCTGGCAGGGACCAGGGATGTCAAAGCACTAGCAATGTAAAGCACAATCCTACACTATAACTAGTCCCACCCAAAATGCCTATAGCACCTCCCTTGAGCATTTTGAATACCAGCCTAAGAAAGGAATTTGTTTAATTTCTGGGGAGAAGCCTGAATGCTCCTTCCGGAAAAGGCATATGGTAACATGGATTATTGTACAGAAATATTTACTCCCTATACCTCACTTCCATGGTAGAAATATACTTTCTTGCCCATTGTTAATGACAAAACAAGATGACTTGTTTTGGTCAATGGAATGTTAGCAGATGATAAAGCAGAGTCTCAAAAGTGCTTATACAATTGGGTTTTCACGCTTGACCCGCTACAATTACCATGGGAAGAATATGCCTAGACTAGCCTAATGATCCCAGGAGGAAGGTAAGAGAAAGCTATGGAGCATAGCCAAATGGAGATCAGCCAACCCTCAGCCAAATCCCAAATCCGTGAATACACCCAGGCAAGATTGCCAAAGCCATTCGGTTGAGCCCAAAGAAGGTCAGCTGACCCCTGGCAGATCTGTGAAAATAAATAATTCTTTTCAGTCACTGTATTTTTGGATGACTTGTTATGTACCATCATTGTGACTATAGTTAACTAATACAAGGTTTATGCCTGAGGCAGCTCTATGACCCCTCCTCTTCCCCATCCTCAGTGCTGAGGAATCCAGAATACTGCCCTTCTCTGCTCTTTCCTTAGACTTTCCTGTTTTTCTGAGACTTCCCAGTGGCTCACACACCTGGAGACCAAACCTTACCTACTGTAGTCTCCTCGACATCTGTCCTGGACGTGGTCTGCCCAATCCCTTGGATCACCGTACTCACATCTTCCATCATCTGTCTGACTCCATCTTGTCCTTGCATCTCATATACAAGGGGTGGGGTCCCCATCCCCTCCAGTTGTCTTCTGTCAAAGTCCTGTATACCCACAGACATGACTTTCACGCCTTTCTCCCTCAATGTCTGTGCAGCATCCCAAACCTCATCCTCAGATTTGCCTGAGGTAATGACCACTGCATATTGGGGAATGCCCTGAAGAAACCGGCTTCCTGCTGCTTGCTGGAAGAAGGTCTGATGAAGGTATCGCAGAGCTTGGCCTGTCCTCCTAGCACCACCCCGGGGCAAGAAGTGTTCATGGATGTGAGCGATCATCTCATCCTGGCTCTGGTAGGTATTGAGCAAAAATTCAGTGTAACCTTGACCACCATACTGAACCAGCCCAATCTGGTACTTGTTCCTGCCAACATCCAGCATGCCAACCACTCCAGAGATGAAATTCTGCATCCACTGGAAACTGGCCTGTGATGTGTTCTGTGAGGTGTCGGTGAGAAAGACCACATCTGCATAGGCCTGGGTGAATTCTGGAACTGAAGAGAGAAAGGGGGATGGAAAGATACCAAGAAGAAAGTAAATCAAATCAAGATCTCATGGAAATTGAATACAAGGATGGTTTTGTGTGGGGGACATAAGAAGGAGAGGTACCCTATGTAACATTGTACATATTGAACTTCCACCTCCTCCATGTGATACTGTCACAAGGCTTTCTCTCTCTTATACCCTACTGCCTGTGTTGTCTGCTTCATTGGACTAAAGTATTTTTCAATTATTTTTATTCCGCCAATGGAGGAGACAAGGGAAATTAACATACACTGAGCAGTTGCTTTGCACTAGAGATTTTAATATACTTTATCTGATTTTATCCTCATAAACCACCCTTCATTGTACAGTATTATCTTCATAGTGCAGATGAGAAAACTGAAGTGAAGTTTAACTGCTTGTCCATGCTTACATTACTAGAAAGTAGCAAAGGCGGGACTAAGAAAACACATCTTCTGGACTTCAAAACCCATGCTATTTCCTCTTACCAACAGGGCAGAGTGGTCTTTTCTACCCATGAGAACTTCTTTCATCCTTCAATCCCCAACTCGGATGTTCCTTCATCTAGGAAGTCCTCCCAGGTTCTCCAGGGATAATAGCTCCTTCTCCTACCTTCTACTGCACTCAATGAATCTTGGTTCATATGGTAATTAGGCATTCTGATGGAAATTTTGGGTTTGATGCAGCTTACCTTTTATTTTACCCTCCACTGATGAGCACAGTGACTGAAGAATCCCTCCTGAGACATCCTGTAGGATGTTGAAATTTTCAGTGTTAAAGAGAAACTTCTCAAATGGCTCACTGGCTATTTTTTGCAACTCCTGGACATCCTGGACGTTGATGCCTACCACATACACAACAACACCATCTTTTTTCAACCGTTCAGCTGCCTCTTGGACTTCATCATTTGACTCCCCGTCGGTCACCAGGATAACTATCTGAGGAACCCTGTCCTTGGCCCGGCTGCCAGCTGCCTCAGTCAAGTAGTTGGTCCTGATAAACTCCAGGGCAGTCCCTGTGTTGGTGCCTCCTGTACGGTAGGGAAGATTCTGGATATGTTCCAGGACCACACTCTTCAGAGGGTACTGGTTCAGTCTAAAGGCTGGGTAGATGTTGTCATTATACTGAGCGAGGCCCACTCGGACATGGTCACTGCTGATGTCAAGCCCCATGACGACAGAGTGAAGGAAGTTCTTCACTTTCTGGAAGTTCTGGGGTCCAATGCTGGTTGAGCTGTCTACTAGAAAGACAATATCTGCCAGGACCACTTCTCTGCAAGCTGCAACAGAAGACAAGAGGGATAGGGTCTGTAGACCTTCACTCAAAATGCTTAGAACCCCTGGATCCAAATCGTGTACAGAGAGGGAGAGCAATGCCAGGCAACCTATACTTAGTGGTCCTCAGACACTCCAGATGATGCTGTGCTCAGCAAAGTAACAATATCCCTTGTTCTTTCCTTCCTTTCCTCTACTCCATCATCCTCTGAGGTTTCTGTCATGCTCTGCTGATACCTCCAACCCTGAAATCCACTTAAACAATCCCTTAACTCTCATGAAGAGAAAAACACTTCTATAAATGTAGCAGTAGGCTGAGAAAGGGTCTGTACTCTCTCGAGTGAGAATAAACTTCATTTCTAGGAGTGTGCTGGCACCAACCGGTCAGAAAGCTGGAATGTATCCCAGGTTCTATGATACATGTCATTGTAACTCTAGCACTTAGCAGTCCTGTGACCTACTTCTCACTCACCTCTATAAGACTGAATTCTCTCTCTACAGCGCTGAAATCTTTACACTGGCCCCCATAATCTCATGGGGTTGTTTTGAGGATCAAATATGATAATCCTCTGTTGCAGACAAGATCAGAGTTCTGCCCAGGTCCTTTTGCATTCCTTTTTACTATTTCTATCACTGCTCTTTGGAGGACTTCTCCTCAGGTACTGGAGCTGTTTTGCCTACAATATATGAAAGCCTAGCTCCTTGCCTTGGGTCAAGACAATTCTGGGTTCTGTAGGATCCTCTGTGGAACTTTGCCTAAGATCACACTCTTCCTTTCTTTCCTCTACTTCACTGTCCTACATCCTTACCAACCTCCTTTGGGAGCTCTTCCATAACAAACAATGTGCATCCCAACCCTTGCCTCAGGCTGTGTTCCTGGGCAATACAATCTAAGACACCTTTCTATTGAAATGGATCTGCTCTGAAAGACTTGGGATCAAGTCCCAGCTCTGCCATCAATTATGTTACCTTTGGCCTCAGTTTCCTCTTATGAAAAATGCAGATAATAATACTAATGGCTTTATATAGCTATGTAAAAACAAATACTAATTGCCTTATGTATCTAACCCAAAAAAGCATCGTGTGTCCATCTACCAGTCAGATGAACAATGCAAACAATTTTTGAAAACTACATAGCACCAAGCAAACTAGTCATTTCTATGTATGTAAAACCTCTTTGTACATATGGAAGCACTATGCAAAAGAAAGATGTATCATTTGGCTGTACAAATGCAATATTACCACCACACACCTGTGGCATCATATGGCTCAAAAGTTTTAGTGCTTCTTCCAACTCACCTGCCCTCTGTAGAAATATCAAAATAAAAATGAAGGCTCTATCCTCTTGTGGATTTGGATGGAACCCACAAGCAAACTTCTCTTTCTCTATTCAAATCTCTGCACTTTCTTATAGAGTTTAGTAATTGCTTTATAAAGACATTTCACCAGTTTATGCCCCATCACCACCAACAGAAGTACAAAGCTGATGACAAGTATATCATCACAGGTAATGACTGTAATGCTTATGGGCATCTCTGACGGGCTAAGCACTTGATAAGCACCTTACTTGCATGACTTTATTTAATGCTTTCAACAACTCTCTGAGGCAGGTACTATCATCCTAGAAAAAAAATTTATAGATTCAGAGAGATAAATAATATGTTCAATATGACACATTTAGAAAGTAGAGGATCGGGATTGGAACACAGATCTTTTTTTTCCCTAAATTCATCCTCTTAACAAATACACTACAACAACACACTCGTAGTAAAATAGGCTGGCTTTCTGGTAGTAAAATAAGCCATAGATCCTCTTGGGGGATTTATGCCCCTCTCCCCTTCTCTGCCTCCGATCCAGGCACTATGGGTAAATTAACCTAGGAATAATAATACCATAGGAACAAACATTTCTTTCATCAAAAATGGACTTATACTACATGTCTATATAAAATGAGCATAAAGTCCACAGTATTTAAAAAAAAAAAGAATGGCTAAGTTTAGGTCAATGATTGGAGGAGAGCATAGAGTACAGAAGGTTTAGCAAATTTTAATATTAAAATCAAACATGCACAAGTATGGAAACTAAGAAGGGCAGTGCACAGGATGAATAAGAGATAAAGCCTTCAGTTCTGTGATTTCTGGATCAGAAATAAAAAAGGAAAAGCCCCTGTACCTGGAGAGACATGGTCAACAGGTTGAGCTGCCTTTGCCAAAGTATCACAGAGATCCAGCCGCAGCCTCGGGGTGAGGCTTCCCAGACCTTGGAAGTTGGGAACAAAAGAGGCAAACTTCTCCACAGGACGGCTCACAATCTCCCTGAGCTCTGCCAAAGCTGCGTCTCTGATGCCAATGGCATAAAGCAGGATGCCTGCCCTCCTAAACGCCTCCACAGGTTCCTGCACAGGGTCCTCAGCTGGGCTGCTGCTGATCACCATGGCGATCTGGGGCACTCCTTGGCGTGCCCGGCTTCCCGCTGCTTCCTGGAAGTGATGGTCTAGAAGGAACTGCAGGGCCAGGCCCATCTTGTTGCCCCTAGTGGCCCCAGGTTTTAGTTGAAACCTCTTAATGTGTCTCAACACATCACCTTTGTGGCGATATGTGGAAAGTAGGAACTCAGAATGGGGCACGTCGCTGTACTGGGCTAGCCCCACGCGGATGGTCTCCCTGCTGACGTTGAAGCTATTCACCATGGTGTACAAGAAGTTCCTCACGTTGCGGACATACTGGGGGACCATGCTGTTGTCCACTAGAAACACGATGTCTCCCACAGAGGTCTGGCTGCATACTAGAAAAGAGAGTCAATTTAAGATAAAACATTACAGAGGATGTGAAAATGGAGGTGGGGTGAATGGAAGCTACACAGACGATCTCCCAGGACCAAAAGGGAATTACAACTAAAATAAAGACAAATCCTCAGAAAAAAAGCAACAGAAAAGCAGCAGGACAGGACCATATAACCAGGGACACTGGTAGGATCTGTGGAGGCATGAGAGGGTGGTGAGCTGGGAGCCCACAGATAGCAGCAGTCTTAGCTGTGAGCAGTGCCCTTGGAGAATAAACATCAAGTCTGCTCCACAGCGAGAGCCTAGAGCCGGGACAAGGTGCTAAAATAGCCACAGGCACTCACGTGGGGGCTACAGCAGAGGGAAGGCAGACTGGGCTAGAACTCTGTGGGGACACCTGGGATTTGGAGGGCACTTAGAGTATTTGCTGAGTTGTGGCCACAAAGCACTGTGGTCAGTGTGCTCCTCCCCAAAGCTGTGGGGAAAAGCAGCAGCACCCACCCCCCCACCTCGGAGTTTCAGCCTTTCCCAGGTGAGGCAAAGAAATGAATTGAGGCTCATTAATAACCAGCATCTACCCCACCCCCTGGAAATCCTCTTAGGCAGAACACCAGGGCTACATTCCAAGGCACTGAGTAACTGAGACAACTAGCTTCCAGGAAAAAGCTAGAGGATAACTGAACCTTTCCTGGGCTTGCAAATCTCCCCAGGAAAGTAAGACTTGACGGTGGTATTTAACGTGGGCCTGCCCAGGTTCATCCAAACCCAGTAGAAGGAGCCACAAACAGCAAAACACCAACGCCCAAAATTTGGCAGGCTCCAAAACCCACTGAGATAGCCAAAATGGTGAAACAAAGAAACAAATCCCAAATGAAAGAACAAGAGAACTCTATTGAAGATGAGATTAGTGAAATGCAGTTAAGCAAATTATCAGAGGTAGATTTTAGAGCCATGATCTTGAGGAAGGTCAATAACATGAGTAAGGACATCAGCATCATGAGTAAAGATATAGAAACATTGTAAATCAACCAAGTGAAAATGAAGAATGACATAGCAGAAATTAAGAACACATTGGGCCCTGGCGGGTTTGGCTCAGCGATTGGAGTGTCCGCCTGCGGTCCGGAGAGACCCGGGTTCGGTTCCCACTAAGGGCATGTACCTCGGTTGCAGTTTGTCCCCGGCCCTGGTTGGTCGTGCGGGTGGCAGCCACTCGATGTGTCCCTTTCACATCGATGTTTCCCCCTCTCTCTCTTCCTCTCTCTCCCTCCCACTCTATCTGAACAAAAAAAAAGGAAAAATGTCCTCGGGTGAGGATAAAAAAAAACAAAACACATTGGAAGGACTAACCAGTAGAGTAGAGAAAGCTGAGGACCGGATCAGTAACTTAGAAGACAGGATAGAAAAAAATCAACCAATCAGAAAACCAAAAGGAAAAAACTATGAAAAAACAGGAAGATAGCTTAAGAGAACTGTGGGACAACTGGAAACATAATAACATTCGCATCATAGGAGTCCCCGAAGAGGAAGAAAATGGGCAAGGGTTAGAGAATATACTTGAAGAAATAGTGACAGAAATCTTTCCTAACTTGGTGAAGGAAGAAGGCATTCAAGTTCAAGAAGCACAGAGAGCCCCAAGTAAGAAGAACCCAAACAGGCCCACACCAAGACACCTACTCATTAAAATGCCAAAAATTAAAGACAAAGAGAGAATCCTAGAGGCAGCAGGAGATAAGCAACAGGTTACCTAGAAAGGAAACTCCATAAGGCTCTGAGCTGACTTCTCCACAGAAACACTACAGGCCAGAAGAGAGTGGCATGAAGTAATCAAGGTCATAAAAAACAAGGATCTGAATCCAAGACTACTCTACCCAGCATGGAACTGGCGCCAGGCAAACTGTTCAGCCATTACCTGGCTTACCCAACCTAAACTCCCACCCTGTTTCAGGAACTGTTTGCCCCAAACTCATAGATCAACTCCTGTCCCATTCTCCTGTCCTAGTCTGGGAACTGTTTGCTCCGGGACAATAGGCTCACATTCTAGGGGCCCCCATGCGTAGCCCCTCAGGACCTAACCCTAACAACAAGTTCCCACTGCCATAGGTGCAGATATAAAAATCACAAACCCCAGCATCGGGCGCGGCTTCTCGGACTCGACCCCCGGAGTCTGTGACCCCGCCCGGAGTGTACCCAATAAAGCCTGATTTCTGCTTATTCGGCTGTTTGGCTCTTTGGTTTCTTCCAACCTCCCACCAGCGGTGCCTGGCTACCTTACAATGGCTATCATTCAAAATAGAAGGTCAAATAAAGAGCTTTCCAGACAAAAAAAGGCTAAGGGAATATATTAACACCAAACCAGCATTGCAAGTTATGCTAAAAGGACTGCTGTAATTAGTAGAAGAAATAGGAAGAAAAATAGAACCATGCTAAACAAAAATGACAATAAATAAGTACATATCAATTATCACCTTAAATGTGAATGGTTTGAAGGCTCTGATAAAAAGACACAGAGTAGCTGACTGGATAAGAAAGCATGACTCACATATATCTTGTTTACAAGAAACCCACCTCACAACAAAAGACTCACATAGGTTGAAAGTGAATGGATGAAAAAAAATCTTTCAAGCAAACGGAAAGCAAAAAAAAATCTGGGATAGCAATACTCATATCTGATAAAGTAGATTTCAAAATGAAGACCATAACTAGAGACAAAAAAGGCCACTACATAATATTGAAAGGATCTATCTACCAGGAAGATATAACCTTGGTAAACATATATGCACCCAATATAGGAGCACCAACATATATTAAAAATCTTCTGGAGAAATCAACAGCAATACAATCATAGCAGGGGACTTCAACACCCCACAGACATCACTGGATAGATCATCTAAAAATTAACAAGGAAACACACACTCTAAATAAAGTGCTTAATCAAATGGATTTCATAGCTATCTACAGAGAATTACACCCCAAAACTGCAAAATTCAAGAAGCAAGAAAAATTTCTAATAGATTATCTAACCACACAACATAAAGAACTAGAAAGCAAACAGAAAGAAAACCCCAGAGCAACTAGAAGGAAGGAAATGGTAGAGATCAGAGCAGAAATAAATGACATGGAGACCAAAAAACAATTCAAAGGATCAATGAAACAAAGAGCTGGTTCTTTGAAAAGATAAACAAGATTGGTGGACCCTTAGCTAAACTCACCAAGAAACAAAGAGAGAGAATGCAAATACACAAAATCAGAAATGAAAGAGGAGAAATAATAACTGACACTACAGAAATACAAAGGATTGTGAACAAATATTATGAACAATTATACGGCAACAAATTCAACAATCTAAGCGAAATGGACCAATTCCTAGAAGCACATAGTCTCCCAAAACTGAACCAGGAAGAGATAGAAAACTTGAACAGACCAATAACAACAAAAGAAATTGAAGATGTAATCAAGACTCTCCCAGCAAACAAAAGCCCAGGCTCGGATGACCTCACAGGGGAATTTTACTGAACATTCAAAGAAGAACTAATACCCATCCTCCTCAAACTATTTCAACAAATTCAAGAAGAAGAAAGACTTCCAAACTCGTTTTATGAGGCCAGCATAATTCTAATTCCAAAGCCAGAAAATGGCACTACAAACAAAGAAAACTACAGGCCAATATCTCTGAAGAACATAGATGCCAACATCCTGAACAAAATACTGGCAAATCGAATCCAGTAATACGTCAAAAAAAGTATTCACTATGACCAAGTGGGATTCATCCCAGGGATGGAAGGCTGGTACAATATTTGCAAATCAATAAATGTGATACACCACATAAACAAAATGAAAGATAAAAATCATATGATCATATCAATAGATGCTGAAAAGCATTCGAAAAAATCCAGCACCCATTTCTGATAAAAACGCTCAGCCATCTGGGAATAGAGGGATCATATCTCAACATAATAAAGGCCATATGTGAAAGACCTACAGCCAACATCATACTCAATGGGCAAAAACTAAAAGCATTTCCCTTAAGAACAAGAACAAGACAAGGATGCCCACTTTCATCACTCTTATTTAACATAGTACTGAAAGTCTTACCCACAGCAATCAGACAGGAAGAAAAAATAAAAGGGATCCAAATTGGAAAGAAGGAAGTGAAACTGTCATTATTCGCAGATGACATGATACTATACATAGAAAACCCCAAAGACTCCATCAAAAATTTACTAGACTTAATAAATGAATTTGTCAAAGTAGCAGGATACAAAAGTAACGTCAAGAAATCGATGGCATTCTTATACACCAATGATGAACTTATAGAAAGAGAAACTAAAAACACAATCCCATTTACCATTGTGGCAAAAAAATTAAAATACCTAGGAATAAACTTAACCAAAGAAATATAGAACCTATTCACTGAAAACTACAGGTCATTGAAAAAACAAAATAGAGAAGGATATAAAAAAGTGAAAGCACATCATTAAAATGTTCATACTACCCAAAACAATCTATAGATTCAATGCAATCCCCATAAAAATGCCAACAACATACTTCACAGACCTAGAACAAATACTTCAAAAGTTTATATAGAACCAAAAAAGACCCCAAATAGCCACAGCAATCTTGAAGAAGAACAACGAAGTTGGAGGGATCACATTACCAGATTCCAGGTTATACTACAAAACCACTATAATCAAAACATCCTGGTACTGGCAAAAGAACAGGTAGATAGATCAATAAAACAGAATAGAGAACCCAGAAATAAACCTAAGATAATATGCTCAATTGATATTTGACAAAAGGTGGCAAGAGCATACAGTGGAGTAAGGACAGCCTCTTTAATAAATAGTGTTGGGAATGTTGGACAGCTGCATGCAAAAAAATGAAACTAGACCATCAGCTTATACCATACACAAGAATAAATTCAAAATGGATAAAAGACTTAAATGTGACTCATGAATCCATATAAATCCTAGAAGAAAATATAGGCAACAAAATTTCAAACATC